TATGCGGAGGTGGTGGGGAGAAAAAGGAGGAAACAAGTGGCCCAGGAGGCCAAGGCGGCGGACCAAGCGGGACAGCAGGAGGGAAGGGGCCCGGCCAGGACTGCCCCGCCTAATGCCCCCAGGACCCGGAGTCTCCCCAAGACAGCGGCGATTACAGTTACGTGTACGCAAGGGGAGTACGCCCGGGTAATGAGAGAGGCGAGGGGCAGAATTACCATCGGCGAGCTGGGCATCGCGCACGTGAGGTCCGGGACGGCTAGGACGGGAGCTACCCTCCTGGAAGTACCGGGCCCGGAGTGCGAGAGGAAGGCCGATGCCCTGGCCGAAGCCCTGAGGAAGATTTTCCAAGGGAGGGGGGGCATCAAAGTGATGAGGCCCTCCAAAGTTGGGGAGTTGAGGGTTAGCGGCCTCGACGTGTCGATTGACGCGGCCGAGGTCATGGCTGCGGTTGCAGAAGTAGGGGGATGCCCCCTTGCACAGGTCCAAGCAGGGCCCATTCGACCCACCAGGGGGGAGTTTGGGAAAAGGACAGCCTGGGTTAGGTGCCCCCTATACGCGGCGATCAAAGTCGCGAGGGAGCCCCATTTCATAGTGGGAGGGTGGTCAAGGGCGGGGGTGACTCTCTTAGATGAGAGGCCCCTGCAATGTTTTAAATGTTTGGAGAAAGGCTATGTAAGTGCGAAATGCAAGGGCACAACAGATAGGAGCAACATCTGCTACAGGTGTGGCTTACCGGGACACCTCGCAAGAGACTGCGAGGCCCCGGTGAGCTGCCCTGTATGCAGGGATAAAGGGCTCCCCCATAATCACAGGTTGGGGGGCCCTGCCTGTAAGGCCCCCAGTAGCAGGGGGCGGAATGGGAGAGGCAGACCAGTGGGCGCGGCCTTGGCCCCCGTGCCTACCACCAATTCCCCCAAGTCTCCTGGGAGGAGGGAGGGGATAAAGAAGAGAGAAGAAAGAACGGGCGTGGCTTTGGCCCCCGCGCCCGGTCCCGAGGTTATGGAGGTGAAGGTGACGGGAATACCGGACACCGTGTCTGTGGATGCCGGGTCTGGCCCCGTAGCCTCGGTAGGAGAAGAGGTGGAAATTGAGGGCGCGGTCTCTACGGACTCCGTGCCCTCTCCAGCATCTGGAACGGAGGGGGAGGGCGGAAAGTGCGGGCGCAACCTTGGCCCACGCGTCCGCCCATGCTAACACAGCAGAGAAGAGGGCGGGAGCAAAGGGCGTGACCTGGACCACCACGCCCACTCGCGAGACAGCCGCGGAGGCTGCGACAAAGGATCTGTTTCCCCTCCCCGTTGATTGGGAATTGAGCCCGAGTGGGGGGCAGGAGTGGCTCAACGGTGAAACCGACCCGGTATCACCGCCCTGGAAGAGTGTAGAGGATCCTAGTTAGGAAAATTCGCGCCTACTAAGATCCTACAAATAAACACGAACCACTCCGCCGTGGCGATGGACTTATTCTATCAAACCATGGCGGAGGGTGAGTTCGAGTTGGGGGTGGTCACGGAACCATATTGGATTCCGGAGGACCACTCCAATTGGTTTCTGGATCCTACGAGGAAGAGGGTCGCCATTTTCTGGCGGCCACCCAAGACTTCCCGCCCGTGCTCAAAGTTTGAGGCGGGACTGGGGTTCATGGGGGTGGAATGGGGTGAGTGGTGCATCATCGGGTGTTACGCCCCACCTAGTTGGAAACTCCCCTCCTTTAAGACCTTCCTGGCGGGGCTGGGGGAGTGTATACGTAGGTGCTTCCCCCGGCCTACGATAGTCGCGGGGGACTTCAACGCATGGTCTGCGTTGTGGGGTTTCTGGCGAACCGACGGGAAAGGAGGGGAGATGGTGGAATGGGCGGCGGCACTCGGCCTGTGCGTTCTAAACACAGGTTCGAGGAGCACCTGCGTGCGTACCCGGGGGGAGTTTATCGTGGATATCACGTGGGCTTCCCCGTCGGCCGCGCGCAGGGTCACGGGTTGGTGGGTGGAAGAAGACCTGGAATCGGGGTCCGATCACAGATATATCGTAATCGAGGCCTCGACCACCCCCACCGGACAGCTCAGCCGTCGCGGGCGTAACACCCGAAAAGGCTGGGTCCTCAAAAAGATGAACGAGGACATCCTGATGGCGGTCATTCTGGTGGAAACCTGGCCAAAACCAGCCGGCCAGGCCGTGGACCCAGAAAAAGAGGCCACGAGGATCGTGAGCATGGTCGAAGACGCATGCGAAGTGTCTATGCCGCGATCTAAATGGTCCCCCAAGAAGGCTATGCACTGGTGGTCCGGGGAGATCGCCGAGTTGAGGCGTCTCTCTTTGGCCGCCAGGCGCACATTCCTGCAAGTTCGCAGAAGGGGGGACCACACCAGAGTGACGGAAGCTCTGGAGGGGTTTCGCGCCGCGCGTAACGCCCTCTGAGCTGCCATCAGGACAGCGAAGGCCAGGGCATGGAAGGAATTAACCTCCACCCTGAATCGGGATCCGTGGGGGCGACCCTTCAAGATAGTACTCAGGAAGCTGAGACCAAAGGCGGCGCCCCCCACTGCGGAGAGACTGAAGCCGGCAATCCTCGGGAATATTGTTGATACGTTGTTCCCTGTGGGGGAGATCAACATCCCTCCCCCTACGGTCGGGGAAGCGTGGCCCGAGGAACCGGCAGTCTTGGCAGAGAAGGTGACCGCAGTGCGGGCCAGGCTTGGTGGCGCTGCCAAAGCACCTGGTCCCGACGGAATACCCGGCAGGGCCTGGGCCCTGGCGGCGAGGGTGCTGAGTGACCGGATGGGGCGGCTATTTACCGCTTGCCTAAGATCCGGCACTTTCCCCTTGCGGTGGAGGAGGGCCAATCTGGTCCTTCTCCACAAGAACGGTAAGCCGCCGGAACAACCCTCCGCATACCGGCCCATATGCTTGCTGGACGAGGCAGGTAAGCTCTACGAGCGTATAATCGTGGGGCGCCTCGTTCAGCACCTGTCCCGGGGTGGTCCCACACTAAGTAACAGGCAATTCGGCTTCCGAGAGGGGCGGGGTACCGTGGATGCGATAAGCCACGTCCGCTCCTTCGCGGGGGCCGCGTTGAAGAGGGAGGGGGGGAGATTGCAATAGCAGTATCGTTAGATATTGTGAACGCTTTCAACTCCCTCCCCTGGGACTGTCTGGGGGCATCGTTTTATCATTTCCAGATGCCCCCCTATTTTCAGGCAGTCCTGTGGAACTATCTCCGGGGCAGGACATTCGCATATACGGATAGATCGGGCACGGTGTGCGAGAGGCAGATGTACCGCGGGGTTCCACAGGGGTCCGTTTTGGGCCCGATGCTGTGGAATCTCGGGTACGACGTAGTGCTTCGGGCGGCCCTTCCTCCAGGCTGTGACGTCGTCTGTTACGCCGACGACACTTTAGTCATGGCTCGGGGGAGGATTGAAGTGAGGCCGCGGCTGTCGCGACCGCAGCCGTCGGCAGCGTGGTGCGCGTAATACGGGGCCTGGGATTGCAGGTGGCTCCTCAGAAGACGGAGGCCCTGTTCTTCCGCAGGAAGACAGGAGGAAGACCACCCCCGACATTTATAAACGTCGGAGGGTCCCGTATCCCTGTGGGGTCCAAGATGAAGTACCTTGGCCTCACCCTGGATGGACTCTGGAAGTTTACTCAGCATTTCGATGCTGTCGCTCCCAGAGTGGACAGGATGGCGAACGCTTTGTGCCGCCTCCTGCCCAATCTCGGCGGTCCGGGTGCCAAAGTGAGGCACCTATACGCGAACACCGTCCGGTCGGTGTCCCTTTACGGGGCACCGATTTGGGCAGAGGACTTGATGGCCAATAAACGCGTCATGGCCTTGGTCAGGAAGGCGGACAGGCGCATGGCCATCAGAGTCGCCCGGTGTTACCGGACGGTGTCGTACGTGGCGGCCACGACCCTGGCGGGGGTGCTTCCGTTCGACCTAGTCGCTGCTTCGCGTGCCGAAGCATATCGGTGCGCGATTGAGGTCGGACGGAGCGGTATTGCCCCCGAAAATATCCCCAGGAAAGTGGAGAGAGAAGGCCAGGGCCCGGAGGTGGGCGCTCAAGGAGTGGAGACACCAACTGGGCGAACACACTACTCCGGGTCTTCCTGGAATTAGGACCGTCGAGGCCATCCGGCCCTACCTACGGGAGTGGGTAGGTAGGTAGGTAGGAGGGGAGAAAAAATTTCCTTCCGCATGGCACAGGTCTTCACCGGACATGGCTGTTTCGGTGAATACCTGTGACGCATTGGGAAGGAGCGCACTACGCGGTGCCACCACTGTGCGGCCGGCCTGGACTCGGCGCGGCACACGCTTGAGGAGTGCTCGGCGCGGGCCGGGGAGCGCCGGGTCCTGGTCGAGGTGGTGGGCGAAGACCTCTCCCTCCCTTCCCTGGTTAGGGGAATGTTGGAGGGGGAGGGTGCATGGGAGGCGGTCTCCTCCTTCTGTGAGAGTTATGTCTCGGAAGGAGGAGGCCGAGAGAGAAAGGAGGGGGAAGGGAGGCACTGCCTCCTCCCAAAGGAGAAGGAAAAGGGGCCAGGGGGCGATAGGCTAAGGCCACGCCCTCCGCGCCATGGCGCCGCGAACGCGCCGAGATAGGGTAGGAGGGGGGATAGAAGAGCTTAGCGACCTCTCTCACCCCCCCCCTTCGGGTAGGCACACGGCTCCCTCGTAGAGGGATTTTGCGGAGCCCAGCGACTCCGACAGGGTCTAATCCAATCGCTGGTAGGAGATGGGGACTCTGACTTTTAACCCCCGGACGCCTGGGTCTGTTAGGTGTTTTTTCGCACACCACCAGGATAGAGGAGTAAACCTCGATAAAAAATCCGGGGCCTGGCCAGCCTCGTTAGCACGCCGGTGATCCGGCATAACGGCTGTTCCCCCCCCATTGCACAAGGAGGGGGTGAGGAGATTCATACCGTAACCCCAATTATGGGGCCGGAGACCGGTGCTTGCATGGAGCTTGCACGGGCCGCGAGGGTGATACAACCTCTATAAAAAGATCCGGGCAGGACGGGCTTGTTAGTCTCGGTCGACAACCGTCCTAGTGGAAGGAAAACCACGATAAATACACCCGCAGAAAACAACTCTGTGAACAAATAAATATAATGATTGGCAATGTTAGAAGGTAAAACGAACTTACCGCAGCAGGGGGTCGGTAACCCAGCTGCCGGCGCGGAAGGGGGTATAGTCCCTGCCCCCACCGCGTCGTTATCAGACGAAGGGCCTGCCGCGGGGTTGATGCCGAGCCCCACGATAGATATGGCTATCGGTGGTGACTCCTACGTAGAGGAGATGAAAGTGGGGAGGGATCCTGACCCCCAAACCACGGTGGAGGGCCTCCCGATGGAGGAGCTTTTGGGGAACAGGGGTGAGGGACCCCCTGAGGGGACGCAACTTCCCCCCCCCCAGGTCAG